CAGCACTCACTAGTACTGTATCCTTTGGAAACACAAACTGCCCTCCTACAAGAGCGACCACTGCCACCTCAACTGTATCGGTGGGTGATAAGGTATCTTCTTGTACTCCAATCCTTAGACCATATTTCTCCCAATTCATCAGTTGAGGTTTGTCTCCTTGAATTAAGAACAGCTTCCTCTCTGCTACCTGGACATCACTCAGACAATCTAATTTATCTGTCAATTATACAAAATACATACAGTGAGTACACATGTACACAACAGTATAATATATACACTCAGTCAGTCACACAATAATACTCTTACCCATTGAAGGGATCAGGTAATTAAATTGTAGTCCAATGGAACTAGTCTCTTTGATAGGTTGCTTGAGGACCCTCTCTTGTCTTTCCTTCACTAGTTTGGCTATGTACAACTCCTTTTCTTTAAGGTCTATAAATTAATAGAATATTAATAATTATTATTGTTTGATGATGACACACTAACCAATAATGATCTGTTTCTCATTCGATGTCAGTTTGGCTATAACTTTGTCTTTTTCAGAAATGAGATTTTGATTGTCATCTACACAATAACCATATCCTCTCATCTAATACATGCCGTGTGTATAGTTAACTAACCAATAATGATCTGTTTCTCCTTGAGATATTGTTCCTCCTTCTCTTCCAATAGTTCAGCAACTTTGAGTTTAAGTTTCTCATAATCTTCTACATTAATAGAATTTTCTCTCATCTAACATTATGTACTGATGATACACTAACCAGTAATAATCTTTTTCTTCTCCTCTACTTGTGTCTTCTCTTCCAATATTTCAGCAACTTTAGCTTTAAGCATTTCATAATATTCTATTATCAATAAAAAATACAAAAATAGAAAATAGAATGATATTTGTAGCTTATACAAATTTGTACTGCATGTACAGTAGCCCATAAATACATGTACAATGATTATTGCTAATGATACCATATATGGTAAGCAGAGCTCACTCTACATCAATCTCATTATTTCTAATGCATCCACAATTTGACCTATATTGAATACAGGATACTATTTCCATACTCAACATTCTCTAATCCACTAGTATTATAATGTAAACAATGTACACATAAACAACAGTATAACACAACAGTACCTAATTCAAGAAATGATTTATACTTTTCTGCTTGCTCAAGGAGAGTGGTAGCATCATCAAGTTGCTGACTAAGTCTTGCCTTTTCTTGAAGAAGCTGTTGCTGCTCTTTGTCTCGATCTTGCTGCATCTGCTCCTTCTCTTTTATTTCTCTTTGAAGCTGTTCCACATAGAACTCTCTTTCTCTTTGTTGTAGGTGCCCTCTGAGTAATTGAACCTCTTTGCTTAATCCTAAATTCTCCCAATCACTCAGTATCCTTCTTCTTAGTTGATCTTGATACTGGTCCAGAGGTATTAGACTATTAGACCAATCATTATCACTAGTATATCCTATACAGTAACAAAATAGTGGAGAATAAGAAATATACAAATTAATTACACTTAGTTACTATGGTAACCTTATTATGATGGATTCATGTTTAATCATTGTATGTGTGACCTCTGTCAGTTTACACAGTTAACCACATGAACATATTATTGTATATAAATACACTCATAATAATATTTAATTCACTCTAGCTCCTATTAATATCAGTGTTTCTGTATCTGCAGTCATTATATTTCACTATTGTACATAGCAGGAATCAATTGGTAATAATTAGTATCATAGGTATACATCAAATGCTCTCATTAAATATTCATCATAAGAATTACTTACTTTATTGTAATATTATCATTACTAATTATCATTACATATTCAATACACATTGTATCTACTACTGTCTACATGTACTTACTGACTTCAATAACTGCTGTATCAGTGTATGATGTACCCGCTCCTCCAAACTCAATTATCCAGTTAGTAGTTGGGGTCACACTCCACACTGACAGAGAATGCCAGTATCTCCTAGTGACATTGACTGGTAGATTAATCTATAAAATTAAAATGATAATAATTTATTTGTGTATGACATATTAATTGATTTGATATCTGGTTAATAAACACAATAACTAACTCA